ACGCTGTAAAATTTAACAGTGGTGGGACATTAAAGGAGCCTTAAAAGGACAAATTTGAAGATTGAATTTTCAAGCTATTATCCCACATCTTTTGTCGCGTTGTCTACAGGCAGAAAATGCCTGCAACGTGCCTTCCCGGAGCCCCGACTCGCTGCGGCTGGCAGGAGCTCGGGTGTCCCTGCTCCAGCCCCTTGCTCGCTCGCAGTGGAGCTGGCTGAGTTTTGGGAGGCTGAGCTCTGCAGCCCATGGCCTGAGACAGCCCGAGCTGGGCTCCGAGAGCCTGGCATCTCCCTCCTTTTCCCAGGCGTGAGCATAACTCCCAGCTGGCATCAGCTTTTCCCGGCCAGGTCTTACCCAGCCAGTGCCAGCAATGCCCAGAAATGCAGCGGATGGACCGCTGGGTATTTTGAGGTCAAACAGAAATGCCCGGTGCCTTTAGGTGCCATCAGGTTTGCGCAGCAGCCAGAAGGAATTTCACCTGTGGCTTGATGTTCACACCTCTCAGGTCAGCCCGCGTCCTGCTTCTTGGCACTTCTGTCCTTTCTTCAAATCAGCTTTCAGACAAGTTTTTGAAATGGCTCCCAAGTTAAGGTCGCGTGCACAGGAGGAGAATTCAAATCTGATGATGGTTTGTTTTATTAAAGAAGAGATTGTTTTCAATGGAAAATAGAGTTTAACCCTTACCTGCTGTCTCTGACACAGGCACACAGGCAGACCTGTGTCTATATCCCCTTTCCTCCATAAAATACAGACCAAATGGTCCTATTCCTCCTTCCCCCGTGGCCAATACTTTTGTGACTCTCTCTGTGCCTAATGAGACTTGAGCAGAGCTGCCTTCTTGTGGCAGCTGAGCTTGGCCTAAAGCTCCCATTGGCAAGGCTCCTGGAGACCTCAGGCCAGTCACACCTCCATGCCAGATTATAATCCCTAGAGATTTGACTGTGTTGTAACTACTTCTTCTTTACACATTGGATAATAATAGATGCTAAAATCTGGCATTGCTGGCAATGACACAGTCAAACCGGACCGCGTAGCTGTGGGAAGGCACCCAGCCAAGGCAGGGGGAGCTGGGGTCAGCAGTGGAGACCTACATTCCCTGGATATTTAAATCCTCATTGCTCTTTAACAAGGGAAAGAGTTGGGAATCAGCTACCAAAACACCTTTGGGGATTTGGTTCTGCATATCTAGGAGAGTAATCAGGAAATTGGTGGGGACTTATCTCTGAGGGTTTATGCTAAAATCATATTTTAAATCTCTCTATTTTTGAACATAAGCCTCGGAGGAATCTTGGCTTGGCTTGAACTGGAGCACCCTATCATAGACAGGTCCTTAAAAAAGCCCGCAGCTTAACTGTGTATCTAGAGATCCTGAAAATGCAAGGAAAAAAATTAAATTTAGGCCTAGCTATTTCCTCAAATTTAATCAGAAGCAGCCTGGGGCACATAGATGCAAGTGACACTGATGGCCAAAATTCTGTAGTTACATAAACATCAGTGAATGACACAAAATAATTAGGAGTTCAGCATAAAGGGCTCAATCCTCAAACTGTTCTGATCACACAGCCCTTGACAGACTGGGGCATGCCTTGGCATCTAAGCCTAGGAAAATGCAGAAGTCAGAGAGGCTGTGAAATGTTAAGTGCCAAAGCAGGTATGTTTTTCCTCTCTCTTTTTTGTTCTCTCTGCCCTAGTTCAGTTTATTTCCCAGCCACATACTTGAGGCATGGATGAGCAGCATTTGGATAAACAGGGTATTTCCCTCTCTGCTGAAAAAAAAAAAAAAAAAAAAAAACACAACAAAACCCAAGCCAAAACCAAAAAAGGAAATGTCTGAGGAAGGTGGAGGTAATTGAGAATTTTGTGTTACAACTGACACCAGGAGAGCCCAGGAATTAACATCCAGGAGGTGGTGGCAGTCGCTCAGCTGCCTCTCAGCCCAGCTTTGCAGCATGCAGGCGTGCTTGCCGGGGGCTGCAGGTGATTCTGTGAGCAGCCGGGAAGCTTTCCCTGCCCGCCACCAGACCTCGAATCGTGGACAAAACAAGAGCTGCCGTTTCCTCCCTGCTATCCTGCCGCAGGCTCTGCCTGCTCTGCCCCTTCGCCGGCTCCTGGCTGGTAACGCGGGAACCCACATCATTCCGCTCACATACAGGAAAGCATGTTCCCTGTCTCATTATTCATGGGCTGTGCCCACAGGTACTGGTTGTTCAGCTCGCTGAATATTTGCCTGAATAATTAGGAGGGAGCTGAATCATTCTTAGACCAAATTCCAGTTCTCTCTCTCCCCCTACTTCATTTTTAGGCTTCACTTCTCACAGCTCCCTGTACACAGTGCGAAATGAGTGTTTAAATACTATCAGATAGAGTCAATAAACTCCCCATGTGCTTTTTTTTTTTTTTTTTAAAAAAAAAAGCATCCTCAAAAGATGCTAGAGAATCAGCTATAATTGCTTAGTAGCACTTATTGCGACAGAAATCCTAGTGCTGCGGTGCAAAAGGCTGCCCCCCTCTGCGTCTCCCGGGATAGAGGCATCCGCGTTCCTGAATGGCACAGAACACATCCCCTCCCTTGCTCATTTTACGAATAGCTGTAAGAAAGGTAGTTGTTCCTACTAAGCTTAACAGGCAATGTTCGTGATCTATTTAATGACTCTGCCCTATGTTGTTTTATTAAAATACGAGATTTCTGCTGAAGCTGAGCTTGAAAACGATTCTTAGATTGAACCCAGTTTTCTCACTGGAAACCTACCTTTCATCCTCCTCCCACTCCTTCCCTCTCCTCTCTTCCTTTCACCATCCCTTACCCCCCTTTCCTGAAATTATGCTGCATTTTACTTTGCCTGCACTGCATTTTTCTCCCTGGCTTTTGATACAAGGAGCCAAATTCATCCCTGCAACGGACTGAAATTCTTCTCAAAGGCGTTATTGGGCTGAATCCAAACCCAGCCAGCATTTTGCAGTGCTGGTGGCTTAGTCAAAACAACAGTTTATAATTTCTCTTTTGCTTCCCTTATCTAATGTTAATATGAATTATTAATAAGTACTCGTATTGCTCTCCTGAAAATCATACTTCACTTCAAAACCACCTATCAGACAAGCCGTCTGAAAATTTCTTTTTAACTTTCCGTGTGTGCTAGGAACTTGCAAAGCACAGTGCGTGCGCACGGACAGCCTGGATTTCAGAGCAAGACTCACTCTGGGATTCCTCTTGCCATCTGCAGTGCATACCGAACTGAAGTGCCGGCTGCTATTAACCCATTCAGGAGCTGGCCAGAAGATGTTTGCTTTCCCAAACTGCCGTCTATGACGCTAAACCTGTTTCCTAATCAGGCTGCTGTTCCAGATCCCTCACCTGGGGGGGCGCAGGGGGGCCCGCACAATGTTCATCTTATACTGTTAGTCTGTATTTACAGCCCTGAAACCTGAGAGGTTCTCTCGTTCCCTGCAGTTTTCATGTGCACGGCTCATTAGCTACTCCGATGCAGCAGGGAGCCCCTCTTGCCTGAGAATTCCTTTGTCATATATTTAGCAAACTTTTGACTGCTTCCTTCCAAATGAGACTGAAGGACATGTTTTCGTAGGAGAGGGTGAGAATCGCAAAGCACGATCTACAGTCACGTTTTTCTGTGGGGAACTACAGAGCAGGGGAGGAGGAATCACCCGCAGTTATCTCTCCTTCTCCCCCGCGCCTTCCCTCCCCTTCTCTCCCCCACCCCCATACAACCATAACAAGAGATGAACGCACTCCAAAATACAGCTGCATTGCCTTCCCTCTCTTCTGGTTTTCCTTGCCATGGCAAAAGGGGGGGGGGGGGGGGAGGAAAAAGACAATGAGGATAGAATTCTCACTAATGTGGGACTGATGTTTTCACTCTGTGTCATCCGCAGACTATTTAGAAAAGCCTGTACGCGTGGTGTCAGAGTTAAACATAGCCAGTGCCGGGTTACTGCTCACGAGAGAGGCTCGGGCAGGGAAGGGAAGAGGGAGGCACTGCCACTCGTCTGTAGGTCTGGATGGTTCCATAAACGAACACACGAAGGCTTGTGGATTGAAAAGGAAGGGATGTCTGAGGTTACGAAAGAGAGCGTTGCACTTCAGATGCAATCCTCATCCTTCATTAAAATGCCCATTAAGAGATAAATTCTGCAAAAAAAATCATATTGTGTGAAATGAAAGGGTTCCTACCCCATTAGAAATCACACCGGAGACAGCTCCATTTGCTCCAAATTAGTTATGCTCTGAATGAATTTTTTAATTAATCCATGATAAACAAGCCAGGCTCTTTCCTAAAACAGAGTTACAGTTTTCCTCCTCGGCAGCAGTGGGACGTGCTCACTCTGCTGTGTGTGTATGCATGTACATGCCCAGGCTTTTGTTTTTAATTTCTCTCTCTCTTTCTTGAACCCATCCCTCAAATGATCAGCTACAACACACGTCCTTAACCATGGATTTCCGTGTGTTTGACTGCCCTTACTTAGCAGGAGGCGGGGGAGGGGGAATAATCAGATTAAGACACCCAGACCCCCGGCAGGATGTTCTGAGGAATAAGAAGAGGGAGAGAAGGAAGAATTCACACATAAAAATAGCAGCCCACGTAGATTGGCCATATATGGAGTACCGGGGACTTCAGAGGGATACCCTCTTCGGACCACCCCTTTGGCGGAGGAAATCGCTGATGCAGGGGGGCCCCTTCCCCCTTCCCCCTTTCCTCCCCCCCCCCTCCCCGGGCGGTTCACCCGCAGCCGCGCTCAGCGCCCCCGGCCCCCGGCCCGCGCCCCGCACCGCGCCGAGGGAGGCGGCGGGAGGGGCGGGTTGCGGAGAGGCCGGCGGGGCCGGCGGGGCCGGCGGTGCGCGGAGCGCGGTGCGCGGAGCGGGGCGGAGCGGGGCGGAGCGGGGCGGCGGCGGCGGCGGCGATGACTCAAACCCGCCCGGCCCGCTCTGCTCACCCCCATTCCCGCTCCCGCCTCCCCCCCCCCCCCTCCCGCGCCGGGGAGGGCTATTAAAAGCTGCTGACGTAGGAGCGGACGGCCATCTTTGATGAGGGCACGGCTCCCGGTCCATTGAAGAAGGAGACCCGGGGAGGTCAGCAGCAGCAGCAGCGGCGGCAGCAGCGGCGGCAGCGGCGGCGGTGGCGGCGGTGGCTGTGGCTGTCCCTTGCCTCCCAGCTGCGGCACCGACCCCGCGGCCCGGAGCAGCGCTCCCTAAGCCGAGGTAAGGGTGGGAGACCACCGGCGGGACTGGCTGCGCAAGGCGGGGCGGGGGGGGGGGGGGGGGAAGGGGGGGGAGGGAGAGGTATTAATGAAAAGGAGGGCATGTTTAAAGATGGACCTGCTCGGCTTTTTGTATCCAGCCTCTGGACTGCTCCGGGGTTGGAGGAAGGCAGGGAGAGGGGTGGAAATTCTCCGCCAGCCTCATCGCCGGCTGGAGCCATAGGAAGAAGCCGGGCTCTGCCCCTCCGCCGTGCCGGGCTCGCTTGCGGGTGGCAGGAGGCCGGAGGAGAAAGGGAAGCCCGGGGGAGGTCGGAGGAGAAGGGAAACCAGCTCCATTCCCCGCCTCTCCTAGAGCGGGAAGAAGGATCTGAGGGCGCCTTGCCCTGCTCGGCCGGCCGGGGCTGCTGCCGCCCGGGGCACTGCAGCGCCCGCACCGCACCGCACCGCGCCGCACCGCGCCGGGCTGCGGCGCCGCTTCAGCACCGCGGACAGAGGCGGGGGAGGGAAGGAGGCGGGGGGGGGGGCGAAGTCAGCACCGCGGACAGCGGCCGGGCCGCTCCGCGCAAGCCGAGGCGGGGCTGGGGTTCAGCACCGCGGACAGCGGCCGGGCCGCTCCGCGCAAGCCGAGGCGGGGCTGGGGTTCAGCACCGCGGACAGCGGCCGGGCCGCTCCGCGCAAGCCGAGGCGGGGCTGGGGTTCAGCACCGCGGAGAGCGCCGCGGGCCTCCCTGCGCGGCCGCGGGGGCGGGCGCGCTGCAGCGCCCTGCAGCTCCGCGCCTCCACACACAGCCCCCAACCCCCGCCCCCCCCTGCCCCCCCCCCCCAAGCCCCTCCAAAAAACGGGCTGCCCTCCCCGGCCAGACCCCGGCCAGGAGGTACGGGAAGCGGCCGGGAAGCGGAGGTGCTCGTTCCAGGATAGGACCGCGGGCAGAAACTGTTGTGGTTGGACGCGGTTCCTGCGGCAGCTCAGGATGAGAACAGGGAGAGAAGAGGAACGGAAAAAAAAAAAACCAAACAAACAAACAAAAAAAAAAAAAAACAAAGAAAAGAAAAAAACCACAAAGAGGCAAACAGCTTCAGTTCCTAAAATTAATCGGCGTTTAGCACTTTGGCTTTTCTTGCTTCCCTTCTGCGGGTGGAGAGGTGTTTGTGTAAGGGAAACGGGGGGTTACGTAACGCCCAGCCCGCGGGGTCCCTCCGGGGCAGGGCATTGCCCGCGGGGACCAGCAGCAGCCCCGCCAGAGCTTCCCCGCGCCCGCGGAGGCTCCGGGCTCCGGGTCCTCGGCGCCCACCCCTTCGCGCCGAGCAGCGCCGCTACCCCTCCGGTGCCTCGGTCACGGCATGCCGCGGGCTCCGGTGCCGGGGTGGGGGAGGTGTCCCCAAGCCGTGAAATGGAAGGGGCTGAGCTCTGTCTCGTGTCTGTCCGCCCGTCCGTCCATCCGTCCGTCCCCCGCCGTCCGCGGCCGCGCTGCGGAGCGATGCGGTGCCCGCCCGCCTTATGTAACGAGCCGCCCGGGCTGCCCCGTCACGTCCTGGCTGGTGCGGGGGGTGACGGCAAAGCCACCCCGCATGCCTGGCCCCGGCCCCCCCATCCCTGACGGTCCTTCCCTCCCAGGGTCGTCCTTTCCGCTCGCCAGCACCCCAGTCTCCCCAAAGCCCTCGCTGGCAAAGTTGGTAACTTCGCTGCTGTCTGTGGGGCAAATAAACAAGGGGAGAAAAGGGGGGATCGGGCTGCGCGTCCAGACACTGCGCTGCGTAGCTGCGTCAAATCAGGGCCGCGGGATCTGCCAGATTTATGTGCTTGGCTTGAATAATTGCTGCTGGTTTCGTTCCCAGGCGAAGGGGGGGGGAAGAGGGGGCTGGTCTGCGGCGCAGCCCGGGGGTGGCGGAGCAGCCCCACAACCCACACCTGGCTGCTGCCAGCCCCGGCTGCAGCATCCGCAGGGACGTGCCTGTCCCGCACCTCCCAGCCCGTCCTAGCTCTGGGCATGGAACAGCTCTCCCATCGACCGTGGCAACACGAGGACAGTGTGGGACAGCCATCCCTGGGGGGGCAAGGGAAGGGATGGGGCCGTCTGGGAGATGAGTGCTCCCGGGGTACAGCTGGGGGAAGCGACTCTCTCCTGGGCCCCCCATCTCCCTGCAGCACAGGCAAAGATGCCCGGCTAGGAAAAAGCAGCAGTGGTTTTCCGTTGCTTCTGCGTAGTGTGGAAGGGGTCAGCCAGGAGGTGACCACTGAAGAGTTTGATACCTAGGATGAGTGCCAAAAAGACAACAGGGGTGACCAAACCAAAGGTGCAAGCAGGCCTGATTTGCAAAACCGAGAGCTTGAGGCTGCCTCTGAAGTCAAGAGGAGTTGCAGAAACTCAGCATGTTATGAAACAAAATGCAGCTAAATGGCAACCCCCAAATAAATACAGCTTAACTTTCTTTCTACAACTAGCTAGAAAATTAGAGTGGCATTTCCAAGAGCACTCAGGACCAGGCTCAGTGTCCATTGAACTCATGGGGGCAGTGAAAGAAAGAACAGCAGAATCCAGCCAGTAGTGACCCCTCAAAATACATCTAATGAGACACAGCTCCAATTTGCAGATTTATTGCACTGGAGGTGGGAGCTGCTTTTCAGGTCAACAGAAAGCTTTTCATTTGTCTCCGTATACTTTAGACATGGCAACAAATAGCAAGATTTAATTGCTAAGGCAAATAAAGCAATGCTTGCATTGCTTTAACTGAGCAAAGTAACGAAAGAAAGTACTTTCCTGTCAGTATGAACGACTTCAGCAATTTTTATGCCTATGTGTCATGAGGCTACAGCTTCTGCATATGTAGCAACCCTTGGGGAAAAATAGAAAGTATATGGCACAGTGTAGGGCTCACTTTGTTAATGATTTCTTCTCTCAGGAATGTAGGGAAGCCTAGGAATAGAAGAAACTGGTTTACCTTTGTCTTGGCTTGCTGTCATATAACTACTCTTCTCTGGCATTTTTTTCCCAGATCTCTGTCATAACTCTTTATAATATAAGCATGGTAATTTCACCTGTACATATTTATACACACATGTACTCACTACAGAGATTTATAGGGGTATAAGCTGGGTAAAACCACAAGAAATGTAGCCTGGGGTTGCAGCCTTCATTGGGAAGAGTGCATTTTTCTATCTGGGAAGTTCCATCCACCACTACCAATGCAGTCACCTCTGGGCTGGGCGAGTGCCAGGCAATCTGTAACAGTAGCCTTGTTCCAGTGTTTCAGAGCATCTGACAGAGAGAAGAATACTGTGTTGCTTGCGAGCTGCAGCAGGATGCAGATCTCGGGCAGATCACGATTACCTCTAGGAAGCTGGACTTTAGAGCGGGCACCAGGGCTCACATATCTGCTCCTGGGCGTGCTGGATAGAGTTTGTCAAAGCCATTAGTTGAAGAACAGTCTATTTCTTTTTAGCTCATTGTTTTTGAGCCTTAACTGGTATTTGTGCTTCAATAAGCTCTGGTTTTCTTCCCTACTGGCCTTGCAGATTTATCTTGCTGCATCGTATTGCAGTGAGCACTTCTCCAAAACACACAAGTTATATTGCTAGTTCTTGTCTATCACCCCTTTGTTATTCCCTCCACAAATACTAGATACGCACTCCCACCAGCAAAATCTGCCTTTCAGCAGATGATCATTTTCAATATACTGTCCCACATCCCACTGAATTTTCTAGGACTTTCCTTTCCACCAAGCGTGAAGACAAGTCAGCCTGATAGGTTGGCTCAAAATTGCTTTTTCCTGTTTTATGATGGCTCTGTGACTGATGTTGTGAGATTCAAGAGTGGTTTGAGTGGCCTAGAGAAAGTGTTTGGACCACTTGCCCTGTTATTTTAGAAGGAAATTTAGCTTTGCCTTTACATCTTTTATCGGGTTCACTTGCTATATCATCATCACTTACCTCATCTTCATGCTCACCTACAATCCTCTTTTCACTACCACTGAAGAGCACCTTGATGAAAGAAACACAAACTTGGGCAAAGCATTAGGATCCCTGAAGTGAAGGGAGATGAGCGTGAACTCCTGATTTTGATTATTCCAAGGAGGCTAAGGCTTCCACTTCTGAGGTAGACTTTGCATAAGGCTCTGAATAAGTTCACCAGTCAGGCTGTGTGCTGCTAGAGGTGAACGCAGGGTATGGAAAGCTTTCTGCTCCCAGCAGTGGGGGCGTATTGATCAGCCCTGCAGTCCAGGAGGAAATCCTGCACATCATTTTGTGGGGTGTATAACACTTAGCAGTTTAGGTTTTTCAAAGGAAACAAGTGCTGCATACATGTCCCCTCTGAAATATACTGCCACGCTGTAATTCTAAAGAGAATTCAATCACTGCATTATCACCTTGTTATTTTCTTTTTCTTTTTTTTTTTTTTTTTTTTTTTTTTTTAATAATGAGCTATGTGGTATCTTATCTTACCCACTGGAGAAGGCAAAACTGTAATACAAGCACAGGGAGGCGAAGAAGGAAATACTAAGTAATTAATCACGTCTGTTTCTGGCCTTTGAAAGCTGGAAGTTAATGCTGACCAATCTGTGTTCTGTCTGTCTATTTAAAAGAAAAATTTTTATTTATTTTTTTTTTTTTTTAAGAGCTAACAATGCTTTATTTCATTTTAAAAATAAGATTTAACTTATTACTGGGCCACATTGTCAACTGATGTGAATTAGCATAGCTGAGTGCTGTGCTACACCACAGGCTGATGAGCTCCCGAGCTGGGGCTCATCATTCATGTTTTAAACCAAAAATGGGTACGCTTGCTGAAGGAGCGGGTTTTTCTACAAACAGAAGTAACTTGAAATGCCGTCTCAATCCCTCCCCGCTCCCCCCCCCCCCCCCCCAGCCCCAGTTCTGTACCAGCCTGGTTTCATTGTCGCAGATTCTCACAGACAAGGTTCACGCCGTTAGTCTGCCTCAGAAATGGTGACAGCAAGCAATGATGAAGCAGCGGAGGAGGAATACAGCACGTTATGGCTGTAT